TTGGTCCATCTGAGATCACAGACTCATCTGTGAACTAATCACTGCCACAGGACTGTGATTGTCCCAATGAACTCAGGCCTCCTGCTCCTCCTGGTGTGTGAGGGGTGTGAGGACAGATGGAGGAAGACTGTCTGCCAGAAACACACTGAGTTTCCTTGGGGGGATATTCTAAGGGAAGCTTGGGGTACTGCTAATAAGGGTGAAGAGATAGGAGGCAGTCCAAAGCAGCAGTTGCAAAGGACTATTGCAACTGTCCCCACTTTCATCCTCATCTTGATTCAACGAACCAGGAGCCATTACTATCCTTGTTCTCTATATGAGAAATCTGAGCCTCAGGGAGTGGAAGGAATTGCCTGAGCTGACAAGTAGAAGAATCTGGACAAACCTGAGACTCTCAGTCTGTCCCCAAAGGCTCTCTTTTTCCACCACATTCACCCTCTTATGTTCTAATATCCAACATACAATCTCTACCGGAATCCTGTCCTACTAGTTATCTACCTGAAAGCCAACACTGAAAGTATTTGCACCAGAGATGTCAGCAACAGCTCCAAATCAGAGCTTTCCCTTCAAGAATCAAGTATCAGCTACTGTTTTTGCAAAGCTTCTGCTGCCCCCACTTTGGAGCCTCCAGCTCTGACCTCACAAATGGATCTCAAGCATTTTAATTTGGTCCGAGGGATATAAATGTAGTGTGAGACGCACAGGCTTATGCAAGGGTAAGAAAAGCTACAGGCTGCAGCCGAGAAAACGCAAAAACAGTGGCCTCTTCTCCAGAGGGTGGAGATTTGCGTCAGCAAGTGAGAGATTTTTGGCATCTTTCAGCAATTGAGCTCTTTGGAGACCTACATTCCTGGTCGGTCACTCCCGGGCCTGGACAGGTACTGACAGTGCTCTGCCCCTCCCAGCCGAGTTTGGGCTGCTCTGGTCTGCCCAGTCCTTCTTTGCCAGTTCATGTGTTTGTGAGGTTTCTCTGGGATTCCCCCATTTGTGTCCTGCCTGCACAAGGCTGGAGGGTC